GAAAGAGGGGGACACAAATTAAATACTAACTTGGCAAACATACAGCGGCAGTAAGCAGGAGACCTTAGGGCAGCCCAGCAGAGGCACTGACCTGTTTCTCCTTGCTGAACCCCAGGACTGAGAAGGGCCTGGTCCCATGCCCTCAGGGATGGGCAACTCAGGGACTATTCCATGCAAAACCATCAGCTTTCACAAGTCTTGAGAAACCCTCACCTGGGACTCTCCCCGGCAAGCCCCAGCAGCCTCCTCTGCCAGCCCCCAGTGCTCCCCCTGCTCTCTGGGCGATGCTGGCAGTGTGCACCCCACACTCGCAAGGCTTGCCCTTAGCAAAAAGACAAGTATTCTTAGCTGAATAAGCAGTGTATCACCAGGTGTGCTGCACCACCACAGCCGATCCACCCCTCCCTTCAGCTTTCTCATCCGCTCAAAATGGGCTGCAGGGCAGCTTAGGCAGGGCTGTGCCCCTAATGCTGTTCAGTAATATGTATTTTGAAGAAAGGTGGGAAATACCTGCTGTAAGGAGCTTCCACCAGGCTGAGAGCATCCTTCCTGACCCCAGCTGAGGACCTGATACCAGTAACAGTAAAAATGTACCTTGTTTCTGTCCCCTCCTCCTGCAGCAGCAGGAGTGTACCTAATCATGCTTTAGGGAATGGCAGCAGTCATTAATGCTGGAGAAACTCCATGTATTTCCAGGCTGAACTACTGCTCATGCAAGAGGGCAGCTGCAAACATCCTTATCATCAGGTTGGAGTTTTAACCCCTGGACCTGCTTCACAGGACTGCTGATTTCAGCCCCAGTTAAGCATGGCATGCCGGGATCTGTAGTTTTCCTGAGCCTGTGGGGCTGCACAACATGTGTCCTGCTCGCTACACATAAAATGGTCCTCGTTTGTAAACCCTGGAAGGGTGGAAGAAACGTAGTGCTGTCATCTGATGTATTTTGCAATCATTTATATTTGTTCTTCCCTGGTGCCTTCTGTGCTGATCAGAGTGTGCTCAGCTGTCTGTGAAATATTTTGTTCATTCCCCCTTTCTCCTTCCAGATTACAAGGCATTTGAAGAAGCCGCTGAACACTTCCAGCCGTACATCAAGTTCTTTGCCACCTTCGACAAAGGGGTAAGCATCCACAGACCTCCATGGGAGCTCACAGACCCCACCACCTGTTTTCCAGAAGCTCAGGATGTTCCCAGATTTAATATCTGGCTCCAGCTTCTCGTTTTCAGTGTTTCTGTAACTTACGGTATTGGTGTCCGCATTTGGATTTGGCCCTGTTGCAAGATAAAAGGTCCTGATCTGGGTTTGGAAACCAGCTCCATCAGGTTTGCGAGACCTTGACTCTGGCCTTGCTCTGCCCCAGTCCTTGACACCGGTCATGTAGAGAGCATCAGTGGTTTTTTAACCAAGGAAAGATCCATTCATATTTTGTTGGCCACCCCTAATAGTGCAGGCTCCAAGAGAGAGCAAGCACCTTGACCTCAGCTCTGCCATGGGCAGAGACTCTGGGTAGGCAAGGAGGCACCTCAGGCTCACTCACCTCTGACCATCTGCACTGCAACAGGTTGCCAAGAAGCTAGGTCTGAAGATGAACGAGGTGGACTTCTATGAACCATTTATGGATGAGCCTGTTCACATCCCTGATAAGCCTTACACAGAAGAGGAGCTGGTTGAATTTGTGAAGGAGCACAAAAGGTACATAGCATACAGGACACTCCTGGCCATGGGAAGCGGGTAAAGGTGTCTGTCATCGCAGACTTGCCCCTCTAGGGCATCCCCCCTCAGAAAAAATTAGGATGACGATCACCTTTTGGTGATTTGCTGACCCAGTTTTGAGATTTTGGCTGGTCTTTTCCTACCCTCAGGGGTGCAAGTATCTGTGCCGCAATCAGAGCCCACCACCATGGTGTTGTGACAACATAGCTTCCCTCCTCCTCCTCCCTGGTTAGTCCTCCCTCAAAGAGCAAGGAGGCTTGCAGGCAGTGGAGAGCAGAAACCTTGCCCTGCTTTCCCATGCTTTTAATTTAGGTCTGTACAGAAGATTATCTTCTCCAAGGCGTCTCAAGCCAAATCCAAATTCTCTCCAGACCTCTCTTTCCCCAAAACAGCTTCACTAAAGGGTATATCCCTCTCCTGATGTCAGATATGTCTGTAGGCAGGCTCTGAGCTCAGACCAAGCTCAGAGGAACCGCGATGGACTGAGAGGCTCCTGCCAACCTGAAAGCCACTGCTGTTATGGCTGTGTTGGGCCCCATGTGGCAATGGTGCTGAGCACCTACAGCGTTTGATCAACTCAGCAGGAGCTGTGGATGCTCCATGCTTTTTTGCAATCATGTTTATTGCACAATTGTTTAGGAACTCGGCTACCAACAGTCTGGAAGTGACTGGAAAGGCTGATCCCATGTAAAAGCACAGGGTTAAATATAAGGGCACAACTACTTATAAGGTGCTGTACTTTTACATCCTTAAGAATACAGCACAGGATAGTCACATAGGCTATCTGCTGCTCCTGCAACTGTATTTCCCAGCAGACATTCAAGGGATCAGAAAAGAGTTCAAGAAAAGCAGGGCCATCAATATAGTCAGGGGACCCCAAATCGGGCTGAGCTAGAGGTTTGTGTTCACACACAAATGGTTTAGAGACAGGAGATCATCTCTGCAATCTGCGAGTCACCAGACTTGGAAACAGATCTCTGCTTTTTCTGAAATATGAAGGGGTCCTCTGTCTCCCATGTACTCACAGGTCACTTTTCTGACCTCCTGGACTTCCTGACCTCAGTTCTTCCCATCTTTTTTTTCCCCAAGCTGTTTCTGTCAAGCAGCAGTGTCAGGAGGCTGTGGAACTCCCCTCAAGTCTTACATATTTCAAGATGCTATGCGGTGCTTGGTAGGAGAGAGGGGTGGGCCATGGGTTTTGCAAGTGCCAAGGCTCAGAAGGGAATCAAGAGGATTCTCATGAAATTGGATGCCTGAAATCCCAAACTTGCCAAGGCGCTGCCATGGCAGGGCAAAAACCCTGGGGTGACAGTGATAGGTTCCCAGCAGTTAATCCTGAGTCTGTAAGAGCAGAAGTCCTTCCTCCTGCCTTGCCACCAGTAAAGGACCTAAAGCCAAATGCTGGAAGTGGAATTAGTCGGACAGGGAGATGATCAGTAGAGAAAAAACTAAGTGTCCTCAGCAGCTGCCCCGTGTTGTTCCCTGTAGACGACTCAGCAGGATCTTCTGCTCTGCAGGAAGGTGTAGAGGACCGCTCGCCTCCTCCTCCTCACACAGCAGACTTTCTCACTTCAGCCCAGCCGGCAGGCATGGGCTGTCCCTCCGCTGAGGTGCACAGCCCCACTGCCACCTCTCCATTCCCCAGAAGGAGACCATGCACCCCCTCCTTCTCGGTAATTGTGGTGTAGTGACATGGGGGCTGAATTCTGCTCCCTCTTACTCACCTAAACCACGCTTACCCCGCTCCCTCCAGCATAGGGAAGTAACCAGACTAAGTCTTGAGCAACTCTGCAGCAACCAGTACATGTGGGTGTGATCAAATCCTTCCCACTGAGTCTCCTTTCTCCAAGAGCTGTCCCCAGAGAACGGCTAGGGAAAGCATCTTGAAAGCCAGGACAAGTATACAGAAGTCCATAATATGCATTCACCTGATATAACCTCCAGTTTCTGACAATCAGCAACAAGGAGACTTGCTGGGTCAAAAATTGTATCCTGATCTTGTGCTTAGTGGCTATTTCTTCAATTTCTATAGTTGTTTTTTACCTCATTTCTATTTCAATGCTGAAAGTATTCAATTGTAATGAGTTCAGCAGCTGAATTATGCATTGCATCAAAAGAGCATTTCTATTTGTTCAGTTTATATCTGCTACCTAATAATTTCACTGTGCACCTACTAGCTCTTGTGTTAAGAGGAACAATGACTAGCCCTTCCCTGTTTCACTTTTTTTTATCATTCCCAGTTTTTTAGACCCCTTGCCAAATCCCTCTTCTGTCACCTCTTTTACAAGATAAAGAGTTCTTACCTATTTAATCTCCACCAAACAGAGGTCATTCCATACCGTCATTCACCACTGCCATGTTTCCATATCCCTTTTTCAGTTGTTCCATATCATTTCTGTGATGGGACAACCAGAACCACACATGCACTCACTGTGGAGGTGCACAGTGTAGCTGTCTATTGCCATAACGGCATGATGTGTTTTACTCCTTAGTCGTTTCCCAACTGTTGTAACCACCCTTTTGCCTTTGGAGCTGATGCTTTCTCAATTTGTGACACCTGGACCCCTTTCCTGAGAGGCAATAATTAATTATAACTAATTTAGAACCCATTGTTGCACCTGCATAATCAGGGCTGGTTTTCTGCAAGTGTATTACTTCCTATATGTTTATCTATCATGCAGGCACTCAAGTCTCAGGAGATCCCTCTGTATCTCCTCTTAGTCAGGCCTATGTTGGTTATCGAAGAATCGGATATGAGAAGCAAACACTGCCATATTCCTATTTCCCATTTTTATCAGATTATGTGAGAATATGTTATGCATATGATCATGCCAAAGCATATGCTATGAATCTTAATTGGTTAATTCCCTCTGTCGTGAAAACTGACCATCCATCTCCACCCTTCATCTTCCAATGTCATTAATCCACAGGAGGACCCCTCCTCTGATCTAACTGCAGCTCAGTTTCTCCAAGAGCCTTTAGTAAGGGACTTTTCCCAATGGTCCTCTGAAGGCAACGCACCGCATTGACCAGCATACCTTCACCCACTCGTTGACTTGCTCTGGGAACTCCAGCAGATCCATGGCCATGACTTTCCTCTTAAAGGACACCTGTCTCTTGTGCTATCACATCATATTCCTTCAAATGTCTGTTAACTCTACTTTTGCTGCTAGCATTGTGCCCATAAGGAAGTTGCCTTTCCAGATCTGTGGCTCCCCAGGTCCTTTCGCAACCTTTAAAAAATGCTCCTTGTTTCCACTGCTCTGGTAGTGAGGCAAACCAAGGCGACAGGTTACACATCTCATTGATGCCACCCAGTTCTGACAACATGCTGTCACTTCCTTTACCAATCTGTTCTAGGACCTCATCGGCTGACACTTCTTTTTGCAACAGGTCCTGGGGCTGGTCAGCCAGGAGACCCTCTCTGATGGGGGAGCCTCCCTGGACACCTGATGCCATGGTGAGCAGAGGTGCAAAGGATTACCTGTGCCTGTCTGCTATGGCCTTGTGTTCCTCGGGTGCCCCTTTCACACCCCAGTCACCTCTCAGCCTGCCAGGCTCCCTGACAGGCTTCCTGCTATGAACGGGTCTGAAAATATTTACTATTCATTTTTTTTTGTACTTTATGAACTACTTCTCAAAAAAAAAAAAAATTTGACTTGGCCAGTCTTATGGTTTAAATTTTCTTGCCAGTGGTTATTAGGATCTAAATTTTCTTCCCCGAGGTTATTCTGTCTTCTTTGCTTCAGCAGAGTTTGAAAGGATTTTTGTGGTGGAATTATGCTGGGGTAAAAATCCCATTAGGAATGTGCCAGGGATTGCAAGACAAAAGTGAATGGGTCACTTCGTGCTCTCAGCACAGACAGAACAAAATGCCATGTGTGGGACTAATTCACCAGCACATCCCAGCACAGAGAGGCGTCTCATCTTCCCAAGCACAAATAGTGGCTGCAATGACTCCAGTGGGGGCAAGGGCAGGGTTTTATCACCATAAATAAAAGTATAAATTGACCTACTGTGCCCTCATGCTTGCATTCAAAGTGTGGTGGCCAACGGCACTGACTCCAGCCAACAACCAAACATGCCACGGTGACCTTTTCTGTGATGCTGGCAGCATCTTGTGTGACAGTGCTGGACACGTCCTCAAAGATCTTTTCTGTCTTCCTTTCAGGGCCACCTTGCGGAAGCTGCGCCCAGAGGACATGTTTGAGACGTGGGTAAGCATGTGTGGGTAGGAAGCCTTGCATCCCCTGCTAGCTTCCAACAAGAAACCACTGCTCAAGAACTCCAGCCTCTGGCTGGGCAAAACATTATCTTTCCTTCCTTGCAAAGCCACTTTCCCTCCTTTGGGAAGAAGGGAAAGCCTTGGCAATGATGTCCAGTGCCTGAGTTCTAATGATGTGCTCAACTCTTTGCTCAACAGTGGTGGACAGCTGAGCTGGGTCCCATTTGCTCCACAAAGAGAAGAGGGAAAGCTCCCCAAGTGTGCCAGGCGGGTGTTGAGCTTCTGCAGCGGCCTAGATATAGCTATGGAGAGCAACCTTCCCAAGGATGCTCTGTCTCTTCTAACGGGCATCAGGGCTAGGGGTGGGGGGGCCTGCTCACTCTTCAGTACGGAGATTGTACTGAACAGATGACTCATGGAAATTGTACCAGAGCAGTTGTACAATTCAAAATGCAAGCGAGGGAACGCAGCTCAGTTAATTATATAGAGTACAGAGCAAACTGTGCATTGATTACACTTCTCACGGTGTGAGCAAGCTGCAAGTCAGCAATTGTGAAGAACTAACCAGTGGTTTGGCACCAGTCACACACAGAGGACTCTCCTGGTCTGCAAGGGTGGGGAAGAGAGGAAGGGTGAAATGAAAGGAAAATTGTATATAACAAATTATCCTTTTGCTGTGAATGAGTATGATGTTAATAGCCAGTCAGGGACTTTCAAGTGCCAGCTGAATGCTGAAAAACAAAGCTGAACAAGTGCTTTACAGATGCTAAGGAAGATGTAGTCATTCCTCCAAAAAGCTCAGCACATTTATAACAGCATTCAGTTGCCTCCTTGCTTGGCTGTGTAACATGAAACGCTGCAGGACTCCAAAGCATTAAAAACCTTGGGAGTCTTTAATACAACAAGGCAAGACGTAATAAAACTGAACCAGGAGTTATGAGTCACTTAGGCACGATAGCTTTTCATTTTGTTTTGAAATACGGATTCTGTATAGAAGATAGCTTCCTAGATCCACTGAAGTCCCTCAAAGTTTTTTCATGGGGCTTCAGTGGGACCCAAATTTCACATGCAGCGGTTTTGCTTTCATACTGAATACATTCTAAAATAACCTCAGGAAAAGTGTGAATTGTCAGAGGTGGGAGGTTTACTTTACCAGCAGCCTGGGAATACAGAGCTTGCCTCCACTATGAGCAGGGGACTCGTACCTACAGGAGACAACGGGCTGGATTCTGATCTCACCGTGAGTTCAGAACATCCTGAATGCCTTCACTGGAGTTACTCCAGTCTTGTTTGCTGCCTTGGAGATCAGAATAGAGCTATATTATATAACTGTATATATGATTATATATCACATACATATA